TGATCAAAAGCCATAGGGTTGCACATATAGGGATGCACTTCTCAGAAATGTGGATTTTATATACATTTTTCAACATATAGAAACATTAAAAAAATATTTTTTCTCAAATTTACCCAGTAAAACAAATAATAGAAAAATACAATTAAAGATTAAAATAAATAAATGAACCAATAAAAAAGAGTGAACTCTTTGAACTTTAGTGAACTTTATATATTTTATATATTTGGAGACCCCAAGTGTTTTGTATAGTATCAACCTGGGGTTGCGTTTCCCTAAAGCAACTATGGTTGCAAGTTACATTGTTACATATAATTCAACGGAACTTGTGATCATAGTTAGCTTACGATGCTTTTGGGAAACTCCCTGATTCTTAAATGTTAAGTATGCTTTTTGAGAACAGAACCTGTGGATTAGTTTTAATTAATCTTATTAAAAAGATGGCAAAAGATTAGATTAAATTATTTACTGATTTCGCAAAAAGAAATCAGTAAAAGAAAAATAGTAAGTGAAATGTTTTAGCCTGGTTATCTCTTTGACCCTTGTTCTCTTCCTCCCTCTATCTGTGGTTGGTTCTATCTGCTCTTGAACTCTACATTATCAAGAGTTTGTGGTTAGACTTTCTGATAATCTGCTCTAGACAAAAAAAGCATTAGTAAATTTTATACCGTGGGAAAATACCAAATAATCATAAATAATAAAATCAAATTTGAGAGATAAAACTGTATGGGAAAAGATCCAGCATATAAATGATAGAGTTGATTAAAGTCAAGTCAAGTCAAGTCAAGTCACCTTTATTTATATAGCGCTTTTAACAATACAATAAAGATGTTGACCACAACATTGACAAATATCAATCAATGTATAACATTTAAAACACCCTGATAAAGTAAAAGAAGAAACAAATTGACACCAATAATTATATACCCTTTTTTTTTTTTGCATTTGATTTCAGCAAATAACCAACTTCTTATCAATAGCCAGTTTAGAATTGATTAACTTTGTTCTGTTGACTGTATGGTAATTTGGTGATTAAATTCACATATTTGTGATGTTACATTATAAATTCTTTAGGTTAGTATTTTGGTTTTAACTATCATCCATTACTAGAAGTGAAGCCCTTGGGTTCTTTTTAACATCAGCAAATTTTTCTTTTTAGAAAAAGCAAGAAAATATTAAAGTCCTCTTCTGTAGCCTCAAAGAACATAACGTTTCCCATACACTCTTTAAAATAAAGGTGCTTCAAAAGGTTCTTCACAGCGATGCCATAGAAGAACCATTTTTGGTTCCACAAAGAACCATTCAGTCAAAGGTTCTTTAAAGAACCATCTCTTTCTTACCTTTTTATAATCTGAAGAACCTTCTTTCGCCACAAAGAACCTTTCGTGAAACAGAAAGGTTCTTCAGATGTTAAAAGTTCTTTATGGAACCATTTAGACAAAAAGGTTCTTCTATGGCATTGTGAAGCACCTTTATTTTTAAGAGTGTAACTGGGTAAAATCACCAACAACAACTTCTACCAAGAATCTACTGGAGTCCCAAGAAATGAATGTGAAGTGAATAAGAAAGAATTTAAAGCAGAACCACCGATGTGACAGAGTTAATGTTAAAGCCCTCCCTCATACTACACTGAACTGAGTAAGAAGTGAGGTTGAGAGGATGGAAAGGAAACGAGTGGAGGAACAGCAGGGTTTGGTGATTCAGGAACTATAAATTGTGTCACCTTTTCCTCTGTGCTCTAGAGACTGAGACATCTTCATTGATAAGTAACTGAGAGAGGAGCTTAATATGAACAGCTGGAGTGTGTATCATCTGGTAGTCCTTGCCTTGCTCTTTGCTAATGGGTCTAGTGCTGAGTATCATAAAAGTGGTGAGTATTTTTTTTTAATCTTTAGTACTTTAGCTCTTAATTGACAGAACAAATATTCAATATTTATTGTTTAAAACAACGTTCAAATAAGTGGATTACTCATTATTTTCATGTGACATCTATCTATCTATCTATCTATCTATCTATCTATCTATCTGTCTGTCTGTCTGTATCTAAGAACTGCTAGAAAATTTTGTAGCTGAAGAGCATGAGAAAAGACTTTGCAAGGTATTATGACAGTAACATAAAAAGTCCCCTAGAAGCAATATAATTAGACTCACCACAAACACGTGTTTTCCCAATGTAAAGGTCATAGGTTTAATTTTTAGGAATGGAGCATATGACAAGCACATTCTTGTCAGTATACATTTAGACAAACATCTGATGATGATGATAAGCTTGCTGATAAGTAGCGGTGCATCATGGTGCATGAGCTGTCTGGAGAGCCACATCAAAAGGCCTGAGGAGGGGGCGGCGTTCACATGAGCTGGTATATCCTGTATACCTGACAAAGATTCACATCAGGACACACTGATTAAGTAAAACCCCACAGTTTCGCAATAATGTTATTCATTCAGTCAATTTCATACTGTAAACACTCACATATTACTCATACTGTAATCTCAAACAACATCTGTGAACTTTTTCAGCATTTGCTGCTATGATTTTTAAAAATATTTATTCACATTTTTGAAAACATTTTAAACATTTTCTGCTGTGAACATTTTGAAAACTATAATAATTAAGCCTATAACAATGACAACATGATTGTATATATTCTTGTTAATTCCACTACTCGTCAAATAAATAAATACATGGACATGAAGTATTGATTTCAGTTTAAATTATGCAATTTTTTCTGCTAGGAAAATATGATCCCTTACAATGCACAACCTGATCGCATGAGAAAAGTAACTTAATTATGAATTGGCGATTTGGCATGAAGTCGTACAATGTGATTCATGTAAACTGTCAGTGATGCATAAGCAGATTGTAAGAAAACAAATTCATATGAATTAGCCACCAATTTGTTAAACAGTTAAGAACTGCCATGAAAGTGGCGCAATTTACAGTGGGCTAATATTAGAAGTCCTCTGAGGTCATTTTCACGACAAGATAGTGCCAGTTGCATTTGTATGAAACAAATCTGAGGTGTGATATCCCTAGTGAAAAGTAAATATACTGAATTTTGACTTTTTTTACTACATTTTAACTGTATTTAAAATGTTTTTATTTCATGATAAGTATATTTAGAATGTCTATGTACTAACTGAAAATACACTGTAAATGTAGTTATTTAATGCTTTCATCAAGCACAAATTTAGTGCACTACAAATTAATTTGTAAAATAGTATACCTTTTACAAATGCAATTGGGGAAGAATTAAATATATATTCATCGCTAAGAGAGTACACTGGCTAGGTTCTTAATTCCATCTACAACATGTCTGAAACTTGTTAAAAGTGATTTTCATAATGGTGTTCTCTGGGCACAAAAAATACTTAAAACAACCTACAAACGCACACACACACACACACACACACACACACACACACACACACACACACACACAGAGACAGACCCATATATAATATAAACTAACAGGATGAAACCTTTGAAAGAGGATGGCCACTTCATAACCCCAATGATATGTCCATGCTCACTCAACCCAACAACTAGTCTCTGTAAGGGATGAATGAAGCATCTTATGATCCTGTAGATGCATGAAGGCCATATTAAGGTTTGTCTGTGGGGATTGTTTGTACTGTATGTTGTGATATCATTAAAGTAAACAAGGCTGCTGTATGAGTTCTCACCTAATACTATGGCACATTCTGTATATTGATATTTATTTGTTCCTTTGGCCCTTAAAAGTGTCTGAAGTATTGTAATAATGTGATTTTAACATAGGCCTAAATATAGGCTACTGTATGTTCAGTGAAGGGGGCTTGATAAGCCAGTCTCTCCTCACTTTATTTTCACGGGCTGTGAAATGGAATTCACCAACAATTGTTTTTTGCGGTTTTGCTAAACATCCGAACTCACCGGAGTGCCCACTGTTAGGAATCTGTGTTGCAGATTTGGCACACTTTTCAAAAGAAACCTTTAGAGTCAAACTCATTGCAGCAAAAGATACAAGTCTCACCATGTATTTCAAATCTGAGAATAATGAAATTATTTTAAGATGATGCTGTGTAATTTATTATTTTTTTATTTTTATTTTAGGTAAGGCTGTCTTTTTGGGCAAACAAACGAAAATGAGAAGTATGAATTGAAACATAGAATGTTTCTGCTTACAGGTGCTGCAAGGGTAGAATTTCCAAACGCAACTTTTGCCTACAGCACAAATCCCTCTAACTGACTCTCTTAAGCTGTGCTATTATTTATAAAGATTAATTTATTGCATTAGAAGCACACACTAATGATGCCATTAACACACTTCAAGTTTACTTGGAATGCAATTGCAATGTGTAGTAAAGTCACTAAAAGTAAAGGATAGTATGACCTCAGTTTGTTATCAGCATAATATTAATGTATGTTCAACACTCTTAGTGTAATTGAATTGCAATTGTAATGTCACCAAACTACATTTGAAGTTATGCTGAGTGAATTCTGCATTTCAAAACTTAAATACAAGAGTGGATATTTAAAGTGTACTTAAGTATACTTGGTATAGATCCACTTTAGCACAATATTTAGCACAACTTTAGCACAAACAATACATTTAAAAAAAAACTTTAGTTCAACTTCTGCACTGCTTTTGCGTTACTAAAATACATTTACAAAATTAGTTGTTCCAATTCAACAGACTTTATGTATACCAATTTGTAGTGTCACAAATACATTTAATTATACTAAAGTACATACAAATAAATTGTGCTTAAGTATACTATTTGTTCACTAGGGACAAAAGATGTGAAAGTAGCTTTGGTTTGCTGTTCAGCGTTGTCATGGACAATGGTGAATATTAGGAAAATCATACCACTGTATGGCATGATTGACCAATCAAAATCATTACACATCCATCCGCGGTACATCCAGCTTGCAAAATAAACCCTGACACTGTGATCAGGGCATTGATGCAAAATACTGAAGACCACAGATTTCATTTTCAGTATAATCGATAAGCGAAATGCAAAATGGTACTAGCTGCATTAGTGAGAAACAAGGCCTGTTAATTGTAATCTGTTATTTAGCACTGCTAATTAATTATTGGGAAATATCAGACCGCTGAATGCCAAGATTGACCAGATTTTTCACTTTCTGATGAATTTTGTATAGACCTACAGTACTCATAATTATTCTGCTTGTTTCAAGGTGAGATATTAGATATTGCCCCGGACCAGATTGTTTTTAATATTAGTAATACACTGCATGGTATTACTGCAACATGGAGGACCCCAGATAATAATAATAAAATATCCCCTTCTTGTTATGAAGCTGAAGTGCAGTACAAGAACCAGTGTGTCAAAGACTGGAAGGTACTTAACACTCACAGACACTTACACATTTGAGCTGCAGTAAGACTCACTTTTAGCACAAACCTGAGAAAACCAGACTTGCATTTGCTGGGAAAATGCTCATGAATTTGATGTAAAATGACACATACTTACAGCCTGCATGTATTTGCTTACATGCAGGGAGGTCAGAGTATTCAAGTGAGACAACAACATGAGGTGTACAATTTGGACCTGTCCACTCTCAGCATGAAGACGAATTACGATTTCAGAATAAGAATGAAGCTGGGGTGTCTAGACAAGGACTGGAGCAAGTGGACAAAAGTGCAAAGTTGGGGAAACAATGAAGGTACCGTCTCTTTGTCTTTGAAATACCATGTGTTCAGGTTCAGGACCAGAGCCTGGTTTGATAAATAAGCATTAATTTGGTCATCAGCCATAGCAATATATGTTTCAAGATATTTACGATCTCTTTACTAGCTTGTACTGAACTCTGAGTAATTCTAGAGTTTTTGTGGTTCTTCTCATGTTAATTTGTCTCTAGTATGAATCACTTTTGTAGTTGTATTCTTCAAGTTTGGTTTGGATAAGTCAAATGAAATATAAACAGAAGTAAATGATTACATATATTCTTCTATGTGTGTGTGTAAAAAGCTTCACAAATAAACTAAACATTTTGTTCACAGGTGCTTGTATGGTAGAAGGATCCGCCTACATATGGGTTTACATTTTGATAATTGTGTTGCCACTAACCGCCTTTCTTCTTGTCTGTCTGTTGACTCAACAGGGGTGAGTATTAACCAGCACTTCAGTTATTATAATATCCTTGACACTGTTTTTTATCAAACGTCTGAACGCTTTGACATTCTTTGGTCTTGAAAGAGTTAGAAGACTGATCTTTCCTGAAGTACCAGATCCCAAACACTTCAAAAATAAAATCATGGACACTGAACAGTCTCAGGTAAGGACAACGCCATCCATAATATTAAATGCATTTATTTGACAGAATACACCTAAAGATCTTTGTAGTTCTTACAGCTGGAAGAGAATTTGCACTTTCACAACATAGGATTCTTGTTTTTAAAGCAGAGGTTTTGTTTTACAATAGAAATAACACACAATCACAGATCAAATGTGAATTCTGTGCTTAAAAATGTGAAGCTAGAGTTGCTAACAAGTTGCTACATTTGGTATTTAAATGTATGTCCTTGTGGTAGTTGTTAAAACTGTAGTAGCATTTTGCACACAACATTTCAAAATTAATTTATGTTGTAGAACAAAACATTAAAGTTTCTCAGAGAGTGTTTTTTAACATGTTCAACAAAACACTATAAAAACCTGAGAGGCTAAAATCTTTTTCCCAGTATTTCAAAATGTAAAGCTGTTTAGCCTATTTGTAATGTCAACTGGGCTTAAAACATGATCTTAAATGATAAAAGAACACAGTTTAAGGCATTTACATAACACATTGTTTATTAAAGGGATAGTTCACCCAAAACATTTAAATTCTGTTATTAATTACACACCCTCATGTCCAAACCCGTAAAGATCTTTGTTCATCTTTGGAACACAAATTAAGATATTTTTTGATGAAATCCGAGAGCTTTCTGACCCTGCATAGACAGCAACGGAACTACCACGTTCAAGTTCAAGGTAGTAAGGACATTGTTAAAATAGTCCAGTGGTTCAATCTTAATGTTATGAAGTTATGAGAATACTTTTTGTGTGCAAAGAAAATAAAAATAACGACTTTATTCAACAATTTCTTCTCTTCCGTGTCAGTTTTTGATGCGCGTTCATGACAGTGTGCATTCCTCTGCTTGCAAACAAGGCGCAGTGCATCCGGGTTCAAAGTCAGAACGAAGGCTCCTGCGTCAAAGACTGACAGGGAAGAGAAGAAATTGTTAAATAAAAGTCATTATTTTTGTTTTCTTTGCACACAAAAAGTATTTTAGTAGCTTCAAAAAATAAAGGTTGAACCACTGATGTCACATGGACTATTTTAATGGTGTCCTGACTCCTTACTACCTTTCTGGACCTTGAACGTGGTAGTACCGTTGCTGCCTATGCAGGATCAGAAAGCTCTCAGATTTCATCAGAAATATCTTCATGTGTGTTCCAAAAGATTCCAAAGATTAATGAAGGTCTTAAAGGATTGGAACAACATGAGGGTGAGTAATTAATGACAGTATTTACATTTTTGGGTGAACTATCCCTTTAAGAATCGACCACACACCTTGTTTTTACCTATTTTATTTACTTAATTACAAACCTTATGGAAATTGCTGAGAAAACTCATGGCAAATATGCATTCTGGATTGGCCCACTCTCAATAATAGTTTTGTTTTTTAGTATTATTATCTATGGTCCCATGGAGAAACTTTAACTAATCAGTGGAACCTTTCAAATGTACCAAAAGTTTCTAATTGTGGGAAAAGGTGCTTTAGATTATTAAAATGTTTCCCACACTAAAAAAATGTTTTATAAACTTTATTTTTTTGGATGTATGGATTGTAATCATGATTGATTAGCTCTAATGAAATAATTTTGTCTGTCATTTCCTTTCTTAGTGGTGGGGGAACCTTACACAGTGGAATGAGGAATGCTCAACAACAGATATTGAGATTATTGACAAGAACGAAAGGGAAGAGCAACATCAAACTTTGGTAATACAGCCCATGTACACCAGCCCAGAGCAACATGACAGCATGTACCGCATCTACTCCTCTGAAACACCTGGTGAAATCACAGAAGTACAGTACTCTCGAAGTGTGTTGGGATATATTGCTTTTTAAGGCCACAGAGAGGGGCTGAAATCATATCCATGAACCAATTTAATGCTTTTAAGATTGATTATTTGATTGGTATAACACATGGGGTAAAATCTTTTATGCTTGCTAGTGTCTCAGGTTTGTGATCATCACGGTTTAGATGCTTAGCATGGCTCTGTTAGACCCTGCCGGTAGATCCTGTAACTACACCATCTGGATACAAAAAGCATCTTTCTCCATTAACGGCCATTCAAAATTAGCCACCTATTCTGATGTAACTACAGTCTTTTAAGCAAAATATTTCCAGGGCTCCGGCATAAGCCAAACAAGTGCCTTTGAGATGAATGGGAATACTAAATGATATATTTCTCTAGGTATTATCGATCTCATTGGTTACTCCTAAAGTCTGTGATCAGGATTGTGGTTAAAGCAAGCTAGTGCACAAAAAATAATTTTAGCACATCAGCCTGTAACAAACAATGTGAGTGCAGTACAATAATTGGACAATGGAGGGCACTCTGACTATCCTGAAGTGTTAAAGAAGATTTGAACCATATCAAAGCCAACAAGGAACACACTCTTCACAGCATCACAGCCCTCTCTTAAGGGAGGATGTACGTTAATCTGAAGACTGATTTAAAAGATTAATGTGAAACTGCATAATAGATGTAGAGTTCCAGTGTGACGGTGTAACAAAGCCAGGGCTGCAGCCACACACTCTGATCTGTTGTGATTGATGAACTGGAATGGGGGTGAAGAATATGAGCAAATAATCATTAAGAGATAGAAGCAAAAATGAACGCCACACAGGTGGATACATGAATGTAAAAATGTACAGTTTCAGTTGTACCCGTTGCAGCTTAGAAAAACTGACCAGCCGATTTTTTTTTTGTTGTAAGCTAATAGTATTGGCTTCATGAGCGAGAAGTGGGATCCAAAAGTCTGAGACCACACTGAAATTTTTTCTACATTTAAACCTGAAAATGTAGAAAAAAATTGAAAAAAATATTAAAAAAATAAAAAAGGAAAATGTACAAAACTTTAAAATGCAATTATTTATTTATTTATTATTATTATTTTTTTTTAAATATAAAGGAACATTTAGTGCACTGCAATTTCACGTCATTTATCCAGCAAATTTGAGACAGTCATGCAACTCCTTTATACTAATGGTCAGATTCCAACTTCCATTGAAGGACAAGAAGCTCTTTGGAATATTCTAAATAATTTCTAAGAACATGATCATCAGGTTTTACACAAACTTCTGGAGATCATGCAGCTCGAGTGCTGCTGTCATTAGAGTCAAAGGAGGACACACCAAATACTAAGACATTCTCATATTCAAGTTTATTTATTGTCATGCATTTTTTTTCACTCAAATTGCTATATTGATCATATAATTGGTAACTGGTAAATATGAAATTAGAAAAAGGTTACAACATAAAAGCATTTTTACACACGGTTTCAGATTTTTGGACCCATACTGTACATGCATTTGACCAAATACTGCATTAAAAAAATGCATTATTTTTATTGGACAAATCAATTTTCCATCTATTACTTTTCAATTATTTTTATATTTTGTCGATGTCGTTGCTCAAAAATTAAAGTACTTGTGCTTTTTACTTTTGGATTTAATAAAAGCTTCATCTTTATGTCCACCAGTGGTGTACTGCTAACTGTCTTTGATACGCAAACCCATTTCTATGGGGATGTGACTGAAGCCTGGATGCATAAGATTTCCCGAGTAACACCTGTGTGCTCACTGACGGTTCAATAGAAATGATCTTTTAGATAGAGCTGCGGGGAATTACCTTACAAATAAAAAAACAACAACTGATCAACGAAAAAGAAAAAGTTTACTCAGAATAATAAATGATGTGAGATAAGATAAACTGCTTTCACTATATGTAATTTCCATCTACGCCTCTTACAGAGAAACTATTTTCCAAGAAGGGGCACTGGAGGTGGTATAGGTTTGTATTTCATACATGATAATTGTTGTCCGTTCATATAGGCTAACAATCGGATGTAGCTAGTCACCACTTGACTGTTATATGAGAGTTCACACTAGCTAAAGTCTTCATACCTCCTCCAGCTTACATAAGAGAAGCAACAAACAGCTTGCTTGATTAATAAATTAAGTATGCTAAATATGGCTCACAGTCATGTTTCTGCAGAGCTATTTAATGATAATCAACACTCAAACAATTACATCTTTACACTTTACACTTTTAATTATACATTGTGCTTTTCTGTCTGGCAAACGTGAACGAATCGTGTTCCCTGATGAATTGTTCTCCAAAGCATTACGCAAAAAATTGTGGGTCTATCTGTGATGATTCTTACTCTTAAATACCAGGAAACACACACACACACACACACACACACACACACTCTTACACACAAAA